GTAAGCTGGGGTAACCTGGAACATAACAACGCTACAGTGTAAGCAATTTATTTAAACAAGGTGATGGCTTCACACCAGCTGGGTAAACTTCCATCAGCTTTCCTTCCTTTCCCCTGGCTCACCCTGGGATCCCAGGGCAAGCACCCCAAACCTTTTTGACTGATGTGCTGTGAAATCAGCCCTCCCTGCTCCAGACACCTGCCACTGAAGCAGCTACCTTCCCCACTGCTGGCTCTCAAGGTCTCTAGACACTGAGACCTGTAAGAATGAATATCCAGGAGACAGCAGCTGTGACCCATTTTTTACCGGATGCTGCTGCAGGGCACAGCTGAAGAAGGCAAGGCAGAGGAAGAGCGCTTGCTGCAAAGGGAACAAGCGGAGCAAACCCAGGTGTCCTTGGAAGAAGCACTCTGCTTGCAGCACTGCTCCAGCTCTGTTTCTCCAGCTCCCAGTTGGCAAGAGACAGCGTAGATCAAGTGCGGATGTTCAAGTACTGCCATGAGGGCTCCCCTCATATCACTGCTGGGAGGTAAAAAAATAAAACAAAAAACCCACAAAGAAAACCCACAGAGGCCAGAAGGCAACCCTGAGCTGGAGCCGGGGCAGAGAGGCCACAAGAGTCTCATGCACTGAACAAGCCGATAAAACTGCCCTAGTGCAGGCAAACGTATCTGGAAAGATCCTTTTTGACAACAAAAATCACAGGTACCTTCACCCAGAGAACAGGGTGCACACAGACATGCAGCACAGTCAGGGAGGAGAAATGCTGAGGAGGGAAGCAGAGCACGTACGCTAGCGGCACAAAGCACGGCGCTCCAGCCTGTAGCCGAAGAGGGCTGGGAAGGCAGCACCGTGCCGAGGCAGATGGGATCTACATCAACACTTATCAGTTCAGCCTTTGCATTTGCCGATTAAGTTCTGCTGGCACTGAGCAATTTTACATGTCCTCAGACTACCTCCTCACCCCCCTGCACAGCCTCCCGCGGCTGCAGCCCAGCCCCGCTCTGGTCGCTGGGTATTCTGATCAGAGCATCAGGCTGGGGTGACATTGTCCCCTCCTGAAGAGGGACGGTAAGCGCCCGCAAGCCCACTCATTTTATTCACTGCACAAGCACGTTTCCAACTGGGATAATCTCCATTAAACCATCTGCGCTCCCATCTTCGCTCGGCCCGCACCCGCTGGGCTGCCTGCGATACTGCAGCATCTGTGAACTGGCAAAAGCGGATGCTGCATCCCTTTCCCAATCAGCTAAAAAACCAACAGAGACTCAGACAGAACAGATGCACCTGGTAGCTTTGATACACTACTGAGCCAGGCTACCAGGAGTACCTGTGCCAGTGCCTCTTCTGAAAGGCGTACGGTGTACGGCTCCCTCTGAGAATTTAAGCCATTTCCTTCCCATCATGGGAAGACACCATGTCCCAAATTGCCAGAAGAGGAGGGACGAGAAGAGAGTAGAGGTTTTAGCTACAACAGCTGCCCTGGTGCAGAAGACAAGTGCCGTTTGCCAGGTCATGAATGCATTTTGGATCAGACACTCTGAATGGCTGCTGATCCCCAGGATTTAATCTCTTATTTATCTCAGTATCTGCTTTCTAGAAACGGGGACTATCATGTCACATTCCTACATCACTGGAACAGAAAGACAAGAAAGTGTTATGATGAGAGATCTGAAACTTAAATCCGCTGCCCCTTCCCCGCAGCCTACACAGAAGACGTCCAGCTGACCTTACAGAAAGCATGATAGAGCGACTGCATTGAAGTGTGAATTCAGCGCAGAGAGAACTCGACCCTGTCCTTAGCATTGCCATCGAGACAGCCAAGGGACTCAGGAGGCACTTCAGCTGTCGAGGACATGGCAGCGTGGTGACAGATCTGAAGCGAAGATAGAAAGCCATCGATCTGCTTTAACTGTAATCAGTGCTTGCCTTCAACAAGGTCGCTGGGCCATCTAACACACGCCTTTCTTCCAGCCGATTTGCCCTGCGTGGTCTTGCCCTCACAGGCGTGGAACAGCACGGCAAGGCTCACCTTTTAAACCTCCCAGGACTCCTACGGTCCCCAAGAGAAGGCAAATATTAGCAGCAAGTGATGGGACAGGAGCAAAAGTCTATTTCAGTATTTCCTTCACTTATTTGTTTTGCAAGACTTTATTTTCTAAGGCAATTTACAAACAAGAAGCAAGATAACCATTTGTCCAGACAAAGGTTAATAGGGACCTAGTGGTCTCTGAAGACTCTGCAGTCACACTTAGGTGTGAAATTTTGGAGTAGCAATAAAGATGCTGCACAGACAAGCAAGTCTCAAGAGAAGCATTTAATCTGTCTAAATATTCTCATTATGTACATAGTTTTCAGCTTCCATTCACAGTGATCAGAGCAGAGACAGCTTCCAGAAGCCTTTTTGGACAATAAACCGTGAAATAGGATTTTTACATCAGTCATTATTCCCCTCTCCACCCCCAGCTCGAAGAGTCAATGTTTGAAATGGTTTTTGTTGAAAAGACATAGCGTTGGGAGAGAAAGAGTCGACAGGAGGAAGGCAGCACAGATCTTTGGCAGCCTGGTGGTACTTGGCACAAGAGAGCTCCCATTGGCACCATTTTCCCAGAAAACCTCAAATAGATTATTTCTCCTAGTAATCCAAAAAAGATTTTCTGTGGGGGCATGCACAGAGTAAGAAACATCACACTACATCCAGAGACCTGCTTCACTGGAACGGGCAAGAGGTTCCAGTTATATCCACCCATCTTGCTCCTAAAAGTCACTTAAACCTAAATACAGTACTAAAACGAGGTGCGAAAACTAGAGGCAGGCATCTAGGACAAAAGGGCTGATCCAAAAACTCAGCTGCTTTCTTTTGGGATCTCAGTGTCCATCTGTCCCCTTGCCTGCAAAAAGAGACCTTGTTTGTCCACTGAAATGTGGAACCCGAGTTATTCCGACAAGCAAAAGTCCAAAAAAGAAAAAGTCAAGAAAACAGAGCAAGTTCTCTGTGGGTATGATCCCCTGGGACCAAGAGAATAGCTACACTCTTGATGCATCTCACCCCTCCTCGCTTTCACGTTGCCTTTTCCCCTTCAGACAGGCAGGTTTCAGCTTTTCTTGCATGTTCAAGACTCCACTTCTATACACAAGAAGCTTGGACAAAATTTGTAGAGGTAGTTACAGTGTTTTGCCATTCAATTTTTGCTTGAAGTCAAGCAACTTCCTGCCCCTGCCCTCCCACCCCCAGGTTTCTCTCAGAAAGTTTAAGAGCTCTAACTACTGGTCACTAGTTGTCCACATTGCAAACAGGACAGCGGAGGGGAAAATATTAACCAGCACAGTCACTTCAGAGGCAGCCCAAACTTGAAGACGGTGTCAGTACTGCGGTCTGAACATTTTATAAATGACTACATCTCTTATCCCTCTCTAGGGGAAGTCATCATCGTCTTTGTTTTCTGGAGAATAAAACCACACAGGTCAAGCAGGGAGTGGGACCAGCAGAGCTGGAGGTAGAACAAGTCCCAGTTTACTCCCATACTCATCCACTAAGAAGCATTAGAGACCTTAACAGAAAACCACAACTCTGAGGTGATGCTGACACCCAGCAGTCTCCTGAAAAAAGTGATTGTGGGAACCGTCCCCCTCCAGCAACCCACTACAGACTGGTATGTTCTCCCACAAACAATCCCTCCCTACTTCTAAGGGGGAGCAGAGAAAAGCACTGAAACCCTCATCCCAACTACTGAGCAGGGAAGGATTAACCACTATCAAAGACTCTGCAGATATTTATTCTCCAAATCCACAAGAGGAGACAAGCAGAGGAAAAAGCTCCTCTGAGAGTTATGTACACCAACAGCAAGTCTAATGCTTATACAGTCTTAATTTTTTTTTAATTTTTCAAGTCCTAACAACAATTATCTTCATGAATTATAGACATAATATCTGAGAGATGCAGGCAGTAATTAATGCATGTCTGCCTTTTCTGACTAGCTCCTTCTGCTGGGTCAGGGAGAGTTATTGAAATTCAGGAAGGAAATCTTCAATCTTCTGGAAGTTTTAAAGAAACAGACCAAGACACAATTTAATAAAGCAGTAATATTTCTCTTAAATAATTAACTAGGCTTTGACATTCACTAATATTTCTGAGGCCCAGCTCTTACTTTTGCAATAATGCTGGAACAAGTACACTCAGGGATGTGATCCACTGCATGTCCAAAATCTACTAACTGCAAAACTGCTTCAAGTAGTCTTTACCCCTGGATTTCTCTGCACACACGGCCACCTTCACTCTTTTTTCTTAAAATTCTCACCGAGACCCTTAACAGAAGCCACACTGTACAGCACTTGCATACCTCCCTCTTCTCATTTTGCCCTACTGACATCTGTCTCCAGGTACAAGCGCTCAACTCTCCCCAAGCTCAAGAGAAGCAGTGTTTATCATCCTTTGGGAAAAACCTCGGTTTCACAGCAGAACCACAGCACAGTAATAGATGCAATAGACAGTCCTAAACTAGACAGAAAGCTATTACTAAAGCAGCATACAGCACTGGATGTTGTTTAAGTGGGCTGTTTCCATCATCTCAAAAAGCAGATTCTCCTGCAGCATAAACAATTTTATTCACATAAAGAACGCACTCAAGAGAGCTTAAGATACTCCAGTATATTGACAACAATTACCTCAAAGCAACAATTACTTAGCCAGCCACTGAAAAAAACCCCCACCCTTTGGCATGGACATATCACCTGCTTAAGCAATATAAAACTGCACAACAAGAACAGAACTCTACTTAAACTCAAAGTTGTAAGGATTGTTCTGATGGCCACCAAATGAAAATACAGCCATATCACCACGAATAGAGAGGGGGTATTTGGCCAAAAAGGTCAGACTGAACCGAAAGCTTCACACCTCTGTTGTTCACTTGAACTACATTATCTCTACAGGAAAAAAATCCCTGTCCACTAGAAGCAAAGTTTAAATGGAAATAATGGTCATTCCAGTTTCAGAAACTCACCAGATACAGCCTGTAAGCATCAATCCGTCGAATTGGCCCCCAGCACTTGTCCGTATCGTTATACTTTGTGCCATCTCCAACACTGCAAGAATGGTTGCCAGTGGCACTGCTGGGAAAGGAGGGAGAAACAAGAGACACTAATTAACTCCTAGCAGTTGTCTTCCCCTCTCCTGCGTTCAAGAAGGAAGAATGATCAGAGACCTGAAGTGTCCATTCCTCCTCTCCCTCTCTGAACACCCTCCCCTCCTTATATTTTCTGGACTGTGTAACAGAGCAAGTCACTGAGTACCATACATTTAAAGGCAAATTCTTGATTTGCCTGCAGTTATTTACAAGTTTGGTCATTTGGTGATCAAGCTAGCAAGTTTAGGTCATATATGGATCACTGAAGTTTTCCATTTCCAAGTCATGAGTCCAAATCCAGCCCAGCCCAGATTTGATCAAACCAATCTCTTTCATTATCTGTTTCTTTGAGAAAGGAACTGGTCTCAGTCCAGAGCTAAGTCCATGTAACATCACCACTCGCTGGTCACAGGCTTGGTAAGCATCACACCTCTCAGCTCTTACCCAAAGAGACAGAGAAGCTGAAATATTGCACAGAGTATTGCAACCAAACTATTGAGCAACAAGTCCCATGTCTGCAAGTGCTGAAGCTGGATGTACTTCACACCTGAGGACTCATCTGAAATCAGGTCAGCTACTCTCCAGGCAGGCAGCAGGCACTTGGGTGGGGAATATAAAACATCTTCACCTTCCCACCCACAAGTGATGAGCTGTCCTTGAGTCGTTTCTCCACTCGGTTCTTCAGGAAGTAGAGCTGATCCCACTCAGGACTTATCAGCCCATCAAATCCAAAAGCCTGCTCTCTTCTGTTAGCACACAGCCCCACAGCAGTAAGCACACTTACCAGGTCACTTGCATGAGAGAGACCGGTACAGCTGCTGCGTAGATTGCCAGGTCTCCATAGAGGTAGATAATTATGCAGAAATAGAAGAGGTTGACACCCACTGCAGGAAAAGGAAATATTGTACAGTACACAGGGACTCCTGAACTCCGCACTGCAAATACACAAAACTTTTGCGAGGCCTTAAAAATAAATCACCATTTGCCTCCATAGTTTACTTCTTTCTGCAGCAAACTCCACCCAAGGGTCACATCAGCAGCTTCGGGAACTTAGCCACAGCACAGGAACTGACGGGACACAAAGTGCCTCAGAGCTCAACCCTGCCTCCTTCAATACCTGGCCCTGACACAGGCCCTCTAGTTCAAGCCCATCCTCCAGTTGCTGGTCAAGACCAACAGGTCTCACATAAGTCATCTGCCAGATGAAGCTGTCAACTTGGAACAGCCACAGGCAAACATCTAGCTGATGCTCATGGACTTGGTGTGAGCACAGCTTGACAAACAGTGAAATGAAGAGAGAAGATGCTTTTAGCCTCTGCTGATTCCAAACCCTCTGCTTGCAAACCTGCAGGACCTTCACATTAGGTATTTGGCCCCGCAGAGCTCAGGTTCCACAGGGTTGAAATGGAGCTGCTTTGGGAAATTCCTTACCATCAGCAACTTGAGCCAAGGTTCCTGCAAAGCTTTAAACCTCTGTTTCTGCAGCCCTCTTACTCTACTGCCACAGCGTATGCTGTTCCTGCACCATACTGTTTTCTTGGGTCCCCCCCCCCAAGCTTGTCCTGCCTTCACATATGAGATTTAAAAAGTCTTACACAAGTTAATTGGGTGCACAGGACAGTCTTACTGGGGCACAACAAGACACTGCTGTGGAGGGCTAAAATCTGCAGGGATAAAGAAATGCTTGATGACACACCAGGTTTCTTTTCTTCCAAGCAAGTCAGTATAAATCTCACCAAGGAAAAACAAACTGGAACATATTTTAGTTCAGAGACAGGTGAGCTACAAAAGAAAAAGCCTCAGATTTGTTTCATTTAGGAAGTTGACATTGAAGGAAAACAGCTCAAGGAACCTGCCCATACTTTCAAGTTGTGATGCCTCCTGATGCTTAATCCTAATGCAGCTTGGGCAAATCAATTCACCTCTCCAACCCTCGCATGTGACAACTATCAAACAAGGACACCATTACTGCAGGAACGTGGCCTAATATTTCTACAGTGCTTGGATGCCCCAGAGTTTTACCATGTTTTGCCATCATACTGCCCCTGGATCTCTGGATGTCAGGAAACATGAATAGGCATTTGCCTTCGTTTAAATAAATTATTCAATATGCTGTGCCTACTTATCATAAAACATTCCTAAAAAAGGGCTGTACTGGGAAAGCAGCAAGAAAACTTTCCTGCTTCTGTAAAGCAGCACACTAAGGCCAGTATTCTAGAGTTGTTCCTGGTTTGTCTAAACAGACAAATGGAGATCTTACAGAAATTGTCAGATCATTTCATATAGTTCCCCCCTTGTTTTCTTCCTCTGTGAAAGATTTAAGATAGCTTCACAGTTAAGGAGCCTCTACATTTTTCTGAAGATGGCAACAACCTACCTACCAGTTTTCTCCAATTTCATATTAAAAAGTGTTGAAGATTATAACAAATAACTGACATAAGACAGAAGCTGCAAGACACACTAAGCACAGGACTAGACAGATTCAGATATAGATTCTGTTTTGGGGATCTGCTACTGATCTCAGGCCTCAGCCGCCCCCCCCCGACACACACACACACAAAATAAGGCTAACACGACCAGCTAAGCCACAGCAGCACCACCAGGTACCCACCAGCACATATTATACCCCCGTTCCAGTGCCAAGTTCTCTGTCTGTGGGAAGTCCAGGTGACAGTCCTCTCCCAAACTCATCCTCTCGAAGGCAGGAAGACTTTAGCATCAGTTCTTTTATAAACTGCTATTGACCCTCCCTGATCAATACTTTCATTACTGGACACAAAACGGGAAAAAAAAAATCAATGACTTCCTGTGAGGAAACAGCATGATAGATGTGCCCAGAATTCATTATTGCAATAAATGACTGCTCGGTCCCAGAAGAAAGCACCCAACGTTGGGGGGCGGAGGCAGAAAGCAGTTCTTCAGAGCCAGCTCTTTTGAAAGAGCACACAGGCCCTTCACAGCCTAAACCTAAGTCAGCTCCCTTCAAGAAAGCAGACAGTCTGAAATTGAGATTTATCCCCAGCTTACCTCCCAGGACTGCAGATTCAACTCCTGTCAGATTGTTGAAAATAAAAATCAGTCAAGAGAAAGGAGCAGAGAACTCACGAGAAATCAGAGGCTTTGAGGTCTATTGCAAAGCTTTCACCAGCCTTCCCTCTGAAGGCTGTAAAGCCCTCAGATACCTTGGGTTTGGATCCGTGTTTTGTATGTTGTGAGCAAAAACCCACTCAGACACTTGCAAGCTGCTTGCAACTGCAGATGTTGGCGCTTGGAGCCGGGACTTCCCAAGTGTGGCTCAGTTTCTCAGCCCTAGGCAGTAGCAACTGGTCACTGAGCAACTGCCCTTATTCAAGGCCTTTCTGTGCAACTGTCAGAAGGAAGCACCTCAGTAAGGATCTGCAGAGGGAGGTACTTAACTTGTCTCTTCTCTGTAACCGCTCAGCAGACCAGAGCGTGTCTCTGAAGGAGGACTCAGCAACAGCAGAGGGATGGAGCCTCACTGCTGAGCACAAAGGAAGGGAAAGCAGCAAACGAGTTACAGCTGCCCCAGACCCCTTGCTGTGTGCGCCTCATCTCATCTGGAAGTCACAAGTTGTCTCAAGCTATGGTCTGCAGCTGTTCCAGCCCCCTTCCTGCAGAGAGATTCATCCCTTTGCATTGGGCTGAGTAGGTCCTGGCGAGGATCCCTAACACAGAAATCAGGTAACTCTGGCTAAAGCAACATTAAGAAGAGGGATTAAGATTTAGGGTACTAAGCAGTTTATACCCCTTTGCTAGGAAGCGTACATCAGTGCCTGACAGGAGAGAGGACGTGTATTTCCAGCACCCTCTACTGGCTGAGCAGCAGCCAGCATCAAGGCAGAGAGGTCTAGAAGGCAACTGCCCAACGCCTGGCTGGCTTTGGGGGTCATTACCATCTCCCCCTGTGAAGCACGTGCAAAGCAGGGGCCTTCTGGAACTTGCTTATGGTAGCACTCTGCCTCCTGTGATCCCCCAGCCCTCCTGCAGCTGAGCAGGCCTCTACAGCTGAATCCTCAGCAACACTGCTAAGCCCTGTTATAAGGCACTTGCTCTCAAAGCACTTCCCAAATATTACTCCCCAGAGAATGATTGAGACAGGGAAGTGTTCATGGTGTTTTACAGAAGGCAAAGCATGCAAGCAAGGGAACTTGCCTAAAGTCAGAGCAGCCCAGTGCTACAGGGAAGACTAGGAACAAGACGTTTCCGAGTCTCCAGTCCACGCTCAAGTCACCTCTCCTCTGACTAGAAAAGTGGCAGCCTTATCCAAGGTGGATTATTTTGATAGTCTTAAGCGATTTAAATCTACAAAGGCCCAGAAGAGGCACGCAGGGAAATTAAAAAGTTTTTTCAATTAGACTTTAAAAATCAGAAATATAGTTCAAGGAATCTTCACTGCTTAAGCCCAGCTGTCCTTCAGAGGCAACAGTCTCACACTGGCATAAAGCTGATGTAATGTAGCGGAAAAAAACAGCCCATCGCATCTTTGTAAGGTGGCCAGTGAACAAGAGAAAAATGTTACTTTCCACAAGAAATGGGGCCTGACAGGCTCAAAATTGCACAGCCATGGTGTCTGATGATTTTCTGGCTCTGCACAGCATTTCAAATATACTGTTTTACAAGTTTCAGAATACCTAAGATGGTAGTTTGCATTTCTATCGCATGCAGCAATGGATATGGCTTTATTAGAGTAGGGGTACAAGTTTGTTCCCTGGCATACAAGACACATTTAAACACAAAAAGACAAGACAGCTGCCTATCAGATGCACATCAGGGACCCTTTCAGCAGTTCATGTCCCAGCAGCTCTCTTGGTGACTCCCCAGACACACGCAATTCTCAAAAGCTCTCCCCAGAAGTCTCTCTCCTTCAGACTGATACTTACAGGGTTCAGGGAAGCCCAAACATCTTATTCTCAAATGCTACAACCAAGATGGAACTAGCGAACACTACAGCTGGGCTCTACTGCTTTAGACAGTGGAGATCACAGAGGATAGATGCAGTTCAGAGTTGGGTTAAGGGCAGTCAGAAAAGGCACTGACTTACACTTCCCTGTCTCAAGAAACTGGGCCCATAACCTGCAGTATTTTGACTAGTTCCACTACCACCACAGCACCCTCCCTTCATGCAGGTTCTGGCCCACCTGGCCCATAAATACTCTACTTTGTAGAAACACTGTACAGGGGGATGAATACAGTCCACAGAGAAAGAACAATACTTTTGGGTGGAATCATCACAAAATCAGGATGCAAACCCACACTGAGAGGCACACCAACTTAAGGAAAAGCCATACACACAATGTGCAGGAGGACCTGAAGGGACTTTTGAAAATGTGAATCACTTACCTTTATTGAAGAACATGGAAGCCATCTGGCCCATTTCCACCCTCTCAGTGATTTCAAAGATATTGGGTGAGCCACGTCTCTCTGCAAGTTGAAAACAAGAAGTGTTTCAACCAGTCCCTCCAATAAACCCAGACTATCTGAAGACACTCAGGAAGGTCTAGCAACAGTTTGAAGGACAGTATGTATGACTCCACAGCTGCAGAGTCACTGGTCCAATTACTCTGCTGAAGTTAGTTTAAAAGTGTTTTCAAAGTAAGATGTTCTCATCTTAGTGACCTAGAAGGAAAAGATCTTTATCAGACTGCAGAAGGTGAACTGAATTCTCAATGAGTCTTATCTTGCAAGTGCTAAGGACTTTGGGATGCGAGCATGTGGAATTAAGGGTGAAATAGACAGAAGAGTACTTCTCCACTTGCTGGAGCCCACTGGGACACTGTCTGCAGAGAAGAGGTCTTGGATCCAGTGAAAGCACCAACTGGGTACTTACGAACTGACAGGATAGGTCGTGTCTCTGCTCGCTCATAGCCATCTTGGAGGAGAACATCACTGTCAGATACTCCAGAAGAAGAATCCTCATCCTCATCATCCTCCTGGAAGAAAAGACCAGACCACTGCTGAGATGTCTGCTACCCACAATACAGGCTGTGGCACCACCAGTGTCATGGTCTCACTGCCAAAAACATAGAGGAAGGTCCGAAAGAGGGATGAGCAGGACACGCAAGCAAAGGCAATACCAGGGAGCCCTTGGCCCAGGCTTATGATGCTGTGGAGAGCAGAAGAGGGCACTAGCAGAGCAGGCTGAAGCGAGTGACAGGCTCTGCTGTCCTAGCCTAGGTCATGCACACAGCAGTGTCCAATTCATGTAGTGATATATGGCACAAGGAAGTCAGAAACTTCCGGCAGACCCGCAGGGTTGCAGAACTGGTAGAAAAAAAAATCCAAACATATATAGCCTTAGCTAGTCAGAGCAGACAGGTCTAGCTCCTAACTCCAACCCACTAACATACAGGCAGGGATCTAAATCAGTGCAAACAATTATGACTTGCACTGATCCAGAAAAGCCACTAAAGCCAGGATCCAAAAAGCCACAAGTAAGTTTTACAGCAAGGATGTACTTCAGGACTGTCTACTCCCTGCGATACAGCCCGAGTGACAGCAAGGACATTCCAGCCTGTCCCAGTTAAATGACCCGAGATCAGCAAGAATTTATAGACCTCAGCACACTCCAAATGGCACCAATATATTGGCTGCCACCTCTCCACATTCACTGAGCAGCACTTCTGGGCAAGGAGAGCACAATCAGTAAGAAATGTGAACAGCATAAGAGATTTTTCAAAGCAGGAGCAGAAAATCCTGTCTTTAACGAGCAACCCCACAGGGAACTAACAGCCATATTTTATATGGCAAAGTTAAGTACAGCAGAAATTTATTCCTTTAGAGTTACTAATGAGGCAAGGCAAAGATACAGAGGAATCTCAGGCAAGTCCTACAGGATAAAAGAACAGGAGAAAATGGAAAATTAAACCCCACACAAACCTTGCGTTTTTCCATTCTCTTCCATCGCAGCTGGGCGTTTGCAGCAGCCATGGCTTCTACCACAAAGGTTGTAGTCATATAGCTAGAGAGAAATTCAATTGATATCAATAATAGTCAAGAACTGACACTGAAGGGAGACGGAGAATTATTCCCGTCTGTTTGTAGGAGCAAACCAACAAACCAAAATAACCCTTTCACCAGCTCCCCCCACACACTGCGTTTTTGGTACAGTGTTTCATCTCAGTTTGCTGCTCCCTTCTGTTCTTGAGATTAAGGTGTTCAAGCAGACCACAAAATGCAGTAAAATATAACATGCCTTCAGATGTAAGAAGACCCTTTAGATATCTGGAAGGCACCTTCCTAGTGTTTCTGTGGGTTGAAGAAGGCAAGAGGACTTCCCCCTTTGTTAGAAAGCAAGCTTCCTTCTTCTTTTTAGGGCCTAGGATGAACACAGTACTATTCTGAAGCTTATCTATTAGGGCCTGTGGCAAAGGTACTATGGTCCCTTAAAGAATCTTACAAATGGCATCGGAAGCAAAGCAGCAATACAAGGCCAAGGAGCAGATCACACGTGCGTGCAAATACACTTTGCTGAAGGCCAGGGGAAAAGCTGTCCAGGGAGACAGCGAGAGCCACTGATGTAAGGAATATCATCTCAGCTAAAAACAGTCCTGTAGTTAAAAAAAAAACACCCCAAACCTCAAATCAATCTTATTTAAGGCTTTAAAGTGGTTTCTCACTGCTTCACAAAGGGAGACAACGAGAGCCACTAATGTAAGGAATATCATCATCTCAGCTAAAAACAGCCCTGTAGTTAAAAAAAAAAAACACCCCAAACCTCAAATCAATCTTATTTAAGGCTTTAAAGTGGTTTCTCACTGCTTCAGGAACTGGACTCACTTATCAACCTCAAATGAGAGATTAGTTTTGCGAGAATAAAAGAAAGCAGCCCTGTCCTGAGGCCTGTGTAGCAATTTCTGCCCAGACTCTTCTTGCACTGAAGGGTCCGCAGCGGGCATGAGAAAGTCACGAGCACCAGAACAAAAACAACAGGGCAACACAGCTCCCAAGGCACGCAGTACTTTGAGCTGCGTCTTCTCAGTTTAAGCCAGTGCAGTTTTGGTACACAGGTTTGGAGGTTTGTGCTCTTCTGCTGACCTTGAAGGATTGTCTGCTGGTGTTGAGTTTCATACACTGAATTTACGCTTTTAAACTAATGTATCTAAAAGGAATTGCTTCCCAAGTTCCCAGTTACTGGTACTCCCACAGTTTACATTTTATCAAGCCTTTGCAGCACACAGCTTTGAGGTGGGGAACTTACAAGCATTACTACAGTCAGTACTGACCATACAGTACCTCTATATAGCAGCACTTAACAGATCCTAAAAGCACTGCCTCTAAATCAAAGGCACACTCAGGCTGACAGAGCTGGTTACTGACAAGAAAGGAACTTCTAAATTCCATTCTTCAAATGGCAGGAGGGGATTTTGTTTTATTTTAAAACGAAGCAAGAGCAAACAGGGATTCACAGCCCATCAGAAGATGGCAATTCTATTAATAACTACTTAGACATCAGTGCTGTATCAACAGCCTTCAGCTCCACCTGCTGCTCCAGCAGGGAGACATCTGGGCAGGAGCTCATGGCAAGCCAGTGTGAAAATCATGAGACCAGCTCCAAGGTCTCGAGCAGCAAAGGCGTGTAGGGGAATAAGACGGGCCCGGCTATACAGTGATTTGTTTTCCTGACACTCTTGCAGTTGCCCAGAGCATTGCCAGAAGCCAAGAGGAAGCTAACACAACAGGTCTGCATCACATCTGCAAGTCACAAAGCAGAGAAACAACCCCACGTCATCCATGACCTGGCTGGTGTTTGAGGAACTGATCTGCGACAGAGGCAACTGTGGGATTGTGCTGGTTCTGGCTGGGATAGAGTTAATTTTCTTCACAGTAGCTAGTATGGGGCTGTGTTTTGGATTTGTGCTGGAAACAGTGTTGATAACACAGGGATGTTTCAGTTATTGCTGAGCAGTGCTGACACAGAGTCAAGGCCTCTTCTGCTCCTCACCCCACCAGTGAGCAGGCTGGGGGGGCACAAGAGGTTGGGAGGGGGACCAAGCCGGGACAGCTGACCCCAACTGACCCAAGGGATATCCCACACCTTATGACATCATGCGCAGCATATAAAGCTGGGGGAAGAATGAAGGGGGGGATGTTTGGAGTGATGGCGTTTGTCTTCCCAAGTCACCGTTACGCGTGATGGAGCCCTGCTTGCCTGGAGATGGCTGAACACCTGCCTGCCCATGGGAAGGAGTGAATGAATTCCTGGTTTTGCTTTGCTTGCGTGTGCGGCTTTTGCTTTACCTATTAAACTGTCTTTATCTCAACCCACGAGTTTTCTCACTTTTACTCTTCCAATTTTCTCCCCCATCCCACCGGGGAGAGCGAGTGAGCGGCTGCGTGGGGCTTAGTTGCCAGCTGGGGTTAAACCACGACAGGGATGTATCCACAGCAAGGACAGCGTCAAACAAGGAAGCTGGGAGAAAGGTCCCAGAAGACTCTGGACTGGAAAAAAAGTCTTTCCCATCAGTCAGGAAATGGGATGTAGCACTATTGCAGGCAGTCAGAAAATGCATCCCTCCAAATAAGGTCCACAGGCAACACAACTGCAGAGACCAATGCTCGAGCAGGAGAGGGACAGAATCACTCAGAAAAGCAGCAAAGGTCTTAGCACTGTCCTTACAGCCCCACCCAGCTGAACCCCCCAATCCCCTAAAGACACATACTCGTGTCCTACCTCATAAATCCCAGGAACATTAGGAGAACGAGGCTGACGAGCCACCCTGCCGTCGCAAAGGCCTTCGGCATGGTTAGGGCTCCTGTTCCGACGATGAGGTTGAACATGTAAACCAGGCCAACCTGCAATCATCCACATAATCCAACATGAGAGGTTGCAGCTGTGCCAGAGATCACCCAAGACACCTCACATACATACCGATTTAAATGGATAGAGCAATCTTTGAGCAAGCAGGGTGGGAGCAAGCCTATGCCAGAAATAAATATAGGAGGGGACAGATAACCAAAGAACAAAAGTTGTCAGCACAAAATGTCAGGACATTTCTGGAGAAACTGATATTCCTCCCTGTTTTTCTAATTATTTTTAAATATTTTTTTGCTTTCTAACTTTTAAAGTTAAAAAGCATGTGAGCTTTTTGTTTGTTTGTTTTCAAATCCACTGCCTTCTACCAGAAGGGTTGGGGTCTCTCCTTGTTTTCTGAACTGAACCTAAGTAGTTATGATTACGTACGTAAGTTACCTTTCAGAATCTCTTGTTGTTCTTTATTCTTAGTCAAGCAGAAAATATCCAGACAGAATTCTAATTCAAAGCCTGCTTGCCATTTCACCAGTAAGCAGCTGAGCACATTCTGAAGAAGGGATTTTACTTCCGGAAGGGAAAGGATTTTATCCTCTCTGGCAATGAGCTTTTTTCTGCCCAGGGGCAGAAGATAACTGCGCACCTGCACAGGACACACACACCCCCAACTATAGATTTACCTGAAGATCAAAAATTACCCCAAAGTTGGGGTTTTTTTGTTTTTTGTTTCTATACAGGTCAGAGTCTCTCCAGAGAAGAGCCAGTAAAGAACTGTGTCTGCGTACACTTTTCTGTGTGTGGAGCAATTAATATCAGGAGAACTATTCCCCAGAGATCCTGTGAGCAGTCCTGCCCTTCATTCACTGACATAAGCACAGCAAATTCATCTTTTGACAAGTTTCCCAGAACAACGGGAAAAAAAAACCAAACACAAAAAATCAGACATTGCAGCTTGCAGGCAAGTTCTTTTCATTCAGCTGGCTGAGCTGTCATTCCCTGAGCACAACTCAAGTGCCCAGGGCCATGGCTTACTCTTCAGCAAAGGACTCTTGAAAAAAAAACACACCTCAGGTGATTTTCCTTGACTTTGGTCAAGTAGAGAGAGATGAGGATGGTGCCCGTGTGTTCAGTCTGGCTAGACATCCTCAGGGAAAGAGGAGAGAGTCATAGCCTTTGAGATTAGACTCTAGGCAATTCATGCAACACTAACATAACAACATAAGAGCAGGTGACACTAATCCTTTAGGGTCCAGACGTCCCAGTTACTGTCTTGTTCTCTATTTCCTCAGTTGTGACCTATTTCTGCAGCCTAATATCCCGTTCTTCTAAATTCAGTCATTAACATGGGGATGAAAGTTTTAAAGCATTTGAAAGCCAACACACAGATTTCAGGAGTGGCTCTATCTTTAGTCATCTCTGAGCTCACTTCAGAAAAAAGTGTATGCAAAGCGCTGTTTTTGAGAGCTGACACGGTATGAACACTTGTGGCTATGAAAACCAGTATTTCCAGTAACATGGTAAAACAGTAATTGGCTCTGCAGTTTCACGGGACACCACATTACAAGGAAGAAACATCTTGATTACTGGTTATAAGTGAAGTGGTTTAAAACAGATTACTACAACAGCTACAAATAAGGAAACTTTAAGAAATTCAGAAGAAAACATTACATAAAGTAAAGAAAGAGAAGCAAAGTGGGATAGTTTCCACATCACGATCCCCCCTGTTTATGCTAGCTTCATGTGACAATTTGGGTTGATGAAAACATTAGTGAAATATAAGGAAAGTGGGTAGAAGGGTGCAAGAGCTGGTATGGGGCATGAAGCTCTTTTTAACACTTTTAGAACTATACCTTAAGCAGACATCATCCCTTCACAGTACATAAAGGGATTTGCGACATAAAAAAACCCTCCAAGTACAAGCGTTTTTAAGTACCCTTTGACCTTCATCATATCTTGAAACACTGAAATTATGTCTATGGGGAAGCAGGAAATGAAAACATAACGTTGAGAAAAGAGGATTTTGCAAAGGCTTCTGAGCAAAACCACAAACAGCAGTACTTACATAGGGAGAGTAAAGCTCTCCTGTATCAGTAATGCCACCAGCCATGTTGAAGACGGTGGGGAGGCTCAGAGCAAAGTGAGGAAGGTGTTTTCAGGAGGGTGTTTTCGACTTCTATTGCCTTTAACCTAGGGAAACATCATAAAGTTGTGTTAGCTTTGTCGGAAAGGGGAGGAACTCACGAGTCAGCTTTTACACATCAGCCTTCTGACATCCGAACAAAAGAGGATTTCAGCAGGGCCTTGCACTTGGGACAGATATACCCCACTCACCGGCAGCACTTGCTTCAATACTCTACCGAAAAGTTCTCATACCTGTTAAACTAGTTTAGAAGTAACCAAAAGGCCCTGCCCTTTCACAGCACGTGACAACCAAACTTCACCTTCCCCAAACAGCCAGAGGGGCTGTTTCAGACACTAAAACCTCAAGAGGAAGAATGCCTGCCTTGAGGATGATCTCATACCGCTGCTTCTCAAGCAGCTACTACTCTTAGAGAGCACGTGCCTCCTGCAAATCAAAGCAGTAAAAAACCAGCCTACAGTCTCTCCCCATGATCGCAAGTAAAGAAATAAGCAGACAAATGAAAATACAGGACCTATGAAAAAACAAAACAAAACAAACCAACCAAGAAGTTTTCTTACATGTACCAAGGTTTCCAAAGCAGAATTATTTGGGGAACTTCGCGTTGTCTTAGAAAAACTAAAGGGGAGAGGGAGAACCCAAGCCTTCTGAAAGGTTTCAGAGTCAGTAAATAATTAGGCGTAGTTGAATTGTTTAAGAACTTTATCAAATTCCTCATACTTCTACACATGCTCCTACTTAGCCACACCAACTGGGACAAATCACCAGCACAAACTTCACAAGCTAAGAGCACCACTACAAACCCGACCAGTTGGTCAGCTTACACACACGCGCTAGACGACAGAAATCAATCAGGCAGCACAGCTCACTGTGGGCATAACCAGACCGGCCCTCGGAAGAAGAGGCCAAACATCTTCCTTTATAACAGACCTCGACTCAAGTCGCCAGAGTCGAGCTCAACACACCGACAGAAAGCAGCAAGACTACAGCCACCTCCGGGACACGGCCGGGGAAAGCGTCTTGTGCAGGGCACCCACCCCAGCCCGGGAGAGGCCCTACCCCAGGGCCCGGAGCCTGCCAAGGCCTCCAGAGCCCCCCGGACCTGCCACCTCCCGGCTCCCCCCGGGCCTCCCTGACCCCCTCCCAC